CTTAGACCTCAAAGCAATGATCTAAATGCATTAAAAACATCTGTATTCGGAGGTATGGATTCATTCAAAGTATGTATTAAAGTGCAGATGCAGCAGTGGTTGATATTGTAATGCTGTTATATGGTCATCTGCTAAATTTCCAATCAACTGACATCCATTAGGCTTACCAGTAATGTCAGAGTGTGTAATCACATGTATCTGTCTATGGAGATGGCATTAACATTTCTGAAACCCTGTCTTGACAAAGCCATTATATTGACTCAAAATAACATGCCATTTTCATGTTTGGTGACTTTGGGCTTTACCTTTGAACCTGACAGCTTCCGTTACGATGTTGCTCTATTTTAACAAAACATACAATAATCTTAAAATTGTGATTTGCAACATTTTTGGAAACCTCATCCACAGACCTCAAACTAATGATCTGAATGATTTGAGAATATAAGTATATGGGGATATGTATTCATTTAGAGCATTCATTATATTCCAGATGCAGCAGTGGCAGATTTCAGTTCTGTGTATGTCTGTTAAGTTTCTAACCAAATAACTGCCAATATGCCAACCAGTACTTCCAACCTGACAACTCACATTGCAATGTTGCTCTGTTTTAAAATAAACACAGTCTTACTAATTAGATTTTTTTCCAACAGTGTGGGAAACCTATCAACTGTGCTTCAGGAAAAGAAACTGCAGCAAAAAAGTAACAATAATATTGTCTTTTAAGCCATATTGCCATCTGCTGGGTTTGAATAGTCACTGCAACAACTAACTATCAATAAAAGTGTGGATTGATTGATTGATTTCACTTTTTTGAAATAGCGCAATATATATATATATATATATATATATATATATGCATTGCAAAACAATAACAACAAGAAAAATAATATAGATTATTTATAGATATAGAGAATACTAATAAGTATATTCTACTCTGAAAATTCACTCACTCACACATTTCTCACAGACCATGTGGAAATGATCTTTGCAGACAGAGGCAGAACATTTCACATGACATTTTTACATTTTTAAGCATAACTCTTGGGTAGAGTTCGCACCTCTTTGTCTGGTCCTTCAACTGTCCTTTCCTCTAGTCTAATGCGTCTGAAATCACATACTGTTCTACATTTGAGAACTTAATAACTTAAAAACCATGAATGTGTACAGTATGAATAAAGTATTATTAAAGAGCAACATGCAGGTTGAATTTATTTCTGAATTAATACTTTAAATTGTCTGCAGAGGTCTTTTAAAAACACATATGTAGAAATTACTAATGAAATCTCATTTGATGTAGAGATTGTGATGAAAATGCGCTAGGCACTGGAATACGCCTTTCCCGCTAGCAACGCGTCATATGACGTAGGCCGAGGCAAATACAAGAGCTCGTGGTCCGCTTTCTCATTGCTGAGTGTTGTTGTAGTTAGAGCAGTAGTGAGAGACAGAAAGTTTTAGATCGAGTTTACGAGAAGCCATAATGGTAAATTATTGTGTTTGTGTTACGAATTCCAGCCTGTCAGGACATCGTGTAACTTCTAGGAAAAACAAGGCTTTTCAGTCTTGGGTGCGTTCTGTGCAGGTGAAGAGAGCAGACTTCACTGCCGCGTCTGTTACCACACATTCAGTCGTTTGTGGCACACATTTCACTCGCTTTAAATGATATCACTAACTGCAGTTGAAAAGCATTATTTATTTGTTGTTATGGCATGGTCATTAGTCAATGTAGATAGTGCAAACCAGCTTGGACTGCATAATCACTGTCAGTGTAGAATATGAGAAGACAAAACGTTGCTGGCTTAAATTAAGACAATCTAAATGGATGTTTAATCAAAAACAAAGTCGAACGTATGTTTGCTAAAGCAGATTTATAGAGATCCTAAGTCCCTCCCCTTCCGGTCGACCACCATGGGACCTTATTTCGGAAAAATATTGAAAGGTAGTCAATGGCGAGAGACAACAAATATTTTGATCTCGTTTGAATTGTGCCCTGAATTACACATATGATGTTTGTCAATTTAAAAGATACATTTTAAAGTAAAGAAAGTTGCAGTTTGATGTAAAACCGTTGAGGTATAAGACTGTGAAAATACGTAATTACAAAGACTACAAACCCCAAAGGTGCACATTTTCTCTCAATGAATGAAGCTAACTTTACTGAGGCTGCCTGTCATTGTTTCTACAGTCTTACGTTATAATCGTAACGTTACGCCGTCACACCTGAGTGTTTTGTACCAGACTGCACACACACGAGCAGCGGGTCTCGTTTCGCTTCCCGGGAGATGTAGTTCACAGAGCGATTTTCACATAAAACTAAATGTTACTCTTCTGTTGTATGACAAACTGCGACGTTTTTGACTTTCAGAATTATCTTTTAAATTGACAAACATCATATGTGTAATTGAGGGCACAGTTCAGACGGAATAAAAAGATAAGTTGTCTCTCGCCATTGACTACCATTCATATTTTTTCCGAAATAAGGTCCCATGAGCCGGCAAAACACCAAGGTACTAGCCATACAGTAGATGAACCAGCGTTAGCCATGGTGCTAACTTACATTAACTCACCAAGTCACTTGACCTATTCGCCACTGGTTTTCTCTCGACACCACAACTCTAACGTTATCTCCTCTGCCCATTGTTCCTCCCCCGATCTCCCCCTGACTTCTATCTCGTCTAGAAGGCTCATAATTATATGCCTGTGGGCCATCATAGGCATGTTCGTCAACATCGGAGAACGCGGCTTCTTCATTCGCATCCATTGAAACCTGAGCTTGAATTTGACGAGACTCCCTCGCCGATCGTCACTTCCGGTTAGTGCTTCATAGACGCGAAAGACATTTTATCACAATTTTTAACGACAAAATATCGTTAATGGCTAAATATATATTACTCCAGTTCAGAAAATCTAGTTGTTTTATCGTCAACATACACTATGCTGTATAGGGGTGTCCAACCTGCATGTTGCTCTTTCAGCATAGGTGAAACCTACCTTTCTACTACATCCGTTGCCATTGTTAGCATTTTCATGTGAGCTATAATAGTTAGTTGCGTTGTTTCCCCTGCCAATCATGACTTCTCCCATGGTCTATGAACTTCTCTCTTGGCCTTTTTTGCCTAATGTTTAACTGCGGATTTAGACATACTACGTAACATATGGCCTACTGCTTTACACTACAGTATAGGGCCTACTGCATTACAGATTTGCATATCCAAACACAAGGTTGGTATCAGAGGTGAATTCTTGGCTCCAAGCAAAAAAGTCACAATATCTTATAAGTTATCCATAAAGAAAAGTTATTATTGCCAGTAATGTTTCCAAAAATACTGAGTTTTGTCAAAAAGGTTTTTGAAGAATTTATGGAATATCAAAGAAATAAATGTTTTCATTGATCAAATATTTTTTAAATAATCATAGCATGCCATGTCAATTTGACCCCCTTGCATTATATATGAAGAGTTCAGATGCAAAAGCCTCTAAATGCCATTTGAAATTTTCTTCTAGAATGGTCATTTTTATCAAGTTTGTATATTTAAGTTCAGTAATTTCACTTAAATGACAATTAATAGGTAATCTTCATTGCCATCCCAGATAGCAAACTGACATTGAATCAACGTGGAAACAACGTCTCTCATGACATTGAAACAACGTTGATTTTGCTCATCGAATTAACATTGAACCAACGTCAGACGCGGCATTCTTCAAAGCTAAATGAAAATCGAAAATTGGTTTGCTTTCATAACGTTGAAACAACGCGTTGATTTCAAGTTGATTTTCCGTTAGTTTTGAAAGAATGACGCGTCTGACGTTGGTTCAACGTTAATTCGATGAGCAAAACAATGTCAGATCAACGTTGTTTCGATGTCATATTTCCACGTTGATTCAATGTCAGTTTGCTATCTGGGATTTAAGTGAAATTACTGAACTTAAATATACGTGTGTGTGTGTGTGTGTGTGTGTGTGTGTGTGCATAAAATGTATTCATCAATATGTTTAAAATCAAAAGTTCTATCTGTCAGCATTAGTTAGTAACTAACAGGAACATGCAATGAACAGTTACATAACTTTATAAGAGGAGTAGTTCACTTTAAAATAACTTTTGCTGATAATTTACTCACCCCCATGTCATCCAAGATATCCATGTCATTCTTTCTTCAGTCAAAAAGAAATTAAGGTTTTTGATGAAAACATTCCAGGATTTTTGGGCACCAAACTGTTAAAAACGGTCCGAAAGACAGTTTCAGTGCAAGCTGCAAACTGTTCAAAGGGCTTTTAACGATTCCAGACGATGAATAAGGGTCTTATCAAGCGAAACAATGCATATCACAGTTCAAATGGGCTTTATGGCCAGCTGCACTACTTCCTGAACTTCAGCCAGCTCCTTGTTTCCTGTCTGCCATTATTGGCCAAATTGATTAATTCAGGTGTGTCTGATTATTGTTGCCATGACTACTGAGGTCAGGTACACCTGAATTAATCAATTTGGCCAATAATGGCAGACAGGAAACAAGGAGCTGGCTGAAGTTCAGGAAGTAGTGTAGCTGGGCATAAAGCCCATTTGTTTATCAAAATGAAAAAAAAAAAAATCTTTTTTTGTGTCATTTGGTTCATTCAACGAATGAAATGAATGAATTGACTCGGAAAAAGATTTTTCATTTTGATGAACGAATTCGAACAGGAGAGTCACGAACGCGCATCACAGAACAGATCAAGGCGACCATTTGAGCTTAAAATTTGATCTTTTTTTTTTTTTTAAATGAGCCATCGTTTCGCTTGATAAGATCATCTGACTGCAGTCCAGAAGCATGTCTACTCGGAGTGAATAAAATTATCATAGTGAATTAACAGATTTAAACCTTTATGAAATAAATCTTAGCATCTCTGAAGATTGTAGCAGTATAAAATTCACACGCAACATTTTGGGAGAAATGCACTTTATTGTGTATGTTAATACAAATACACTTCTATTTAATATGTACCAGTCACATTTTTTTGGAGGGCACAACTGTGTCAAAGAAGGTTGGTGAGGTATCGTGTCACAGAAGCTGTGCTGAGAACAATGCTTTTAGAAAAAGAAAGGAAAGATATTAGGCTTGATATTTGATTTAGTTTTTTGAAAATGCAGAAAAGTGAGCAAAGCAGAAACAATAAAGGCCAATGCTTTGGTAAAAGCAGTCTGAACACTTGCACTATACTCTAATTCAAGAGAAAACATTCTCTGAATATCTTACAAAACATATTTGATTTTCAATTTAGACACATTTTCAAATGCACACGTACAGTAGTGGCCAAAAGTGATGTCCAGCCTTGGAAAATTGATGTATTAATCCTTTATTTAAATATTATTAATGATTTATTTAACGGTTTGGTCACCATATTGAGTAGCTGTGCTTTGAGTCCTTTGTTTTATTTGTGATTAAACAATGAAACATGCCAAATTGTGCGGATATTGTTGTTTAGGACAGGCATACAAAGAAATATGAATAAATTTTAATTACTTATCCTGTTGTATAGTCAATGTTTTTTCCTGGGACCTTTTTTGTTTTTCAATGCATTTTTTTCAAATAGTAAAACCAAACCTGCTGCTGTAGATTGCCCTTCTTTTGCCAAATACTTCTGTCAGATAAAAAGCTTAACCATGTTTAGTGTTTTTTTTATTATTATTATTTTCTTATTCATAGGTACACTATGTACATTTTATTTTATATATATTTTTTTATTTAAATATAAGTCAATAGATCATCAATCCTACTTCCAAAACATGTTTTTGTCTTACACTGATTCACTATGATAAGCCTATTATAAGCGTTTATATTTTGGACCTGTCGGGGTGGTTTCCATGGGAAATTGCACACGTGTCTTAAATCCATAAATACCATCATATCAATCAATCATCATATCAAATGACAAAGATTGACATCAACATTGGCTTGGCTTTTTGGAGATGCTGATAACTGAGGGATTTGAAATGTTTAAAAAGCGACGCAGAGATTTTTGATCTCGTATATGTATTTATTACTCAACAGGTGAATTTTATTTAAAAAAATATTTAGCTCTCTAACAGGGTTTATTGTAAAGCATTATCTTTTGTGAAGGGTCAATTCATTATGGTTTCTGTAGTGTTGTGCTGGAGTTTACTTTCAAGAAAGTACCGTTTCTATTAATGGGTAGAGTAACGTCTTCAGAAACTCAGCTATGAGATCGTTTCCAACTAAACTGGTTATATCTTAAGCCTTGTAATGAATGTTTTATGAGCAATTTTGTTTAACAGCTAAAGGGCCAAAACCTACATAGTGTACCTTGAAAATAATTGCATCATTTAATCAAACTTGTAGGGTCATTAAAAACAAATATCATTTTTGGCCACAGCTGAACAAAACGGTACTATCTTTTTAAAACTTTTTTTTTTTTTTTTTTGTGGAGAAAAACAACATTGTTTTTAGCAGACAACACATATGATCCAGCTCACAAAAGACAGACACGCTGCACTCTTGGTGGACACCTTTGTGACAAACATGCACACACATATGAATATTTTGACAATGCACACACACATTTATGCACAATTCGCAGTGGTAGAGTTAAAGTAAGACAGTGTGGATAGTAGGTGTGGCACAGATCACCCTTTTTGACTTAACATGTGATGCCCACCATAGTCAGTGGGGTAGTTCCTGAAGCAGCTCTGATGCCAGGTGGCAGATGTGGGACCAAGCCTCCTGAACATGCCGTGACTCAGTAGTACGGGCACACACGGCAAAACGCAGAACGAACTTGCCTGCCAGTTGGCATGGAACCAGATGGATCTTTCGTGCACTGTTGATCCTCTTCAACAGAGTTTCATTCAATTCATTGGAGCCCTGCAATGTTTAATACACAGCTCAGTTAGTATATAGCTCAGTAATATATATATATATATATATATATATATATATATATATATATATATATATGAAGAGTTCAGATGCAAAAGCCTCTAAATGCCATTTGAAATTTTCTTCTTTAATGATGATTTTTATCAAACTTGTATATTTAAGTTCAGTAATTTCACTTAAATGGTAATGATAATTACCTATTAATTGTTATTTAAGTTAAATTACTGAACTTAAATATACAAGTTTGATAAAAATCATCATTAAAGAAGAAAATTTCAAATGGCATTTAGAGGCTTTTGCATCTGAACTCTTCATATATATATATATATATATATATATATATATTAAAATTCAATAGTACCTTTTTTAGAGCAAAACTTCACAAAGTGCTTTACATCAGAAATCAAAATAAGACTTACAGACAGATAATACAAAGTGATAGAGAACAATTAAGAGTTTAAAGATGTGGGTTTTAGCTGCTTTTTAAAAGTGTCCATGGACCTTAAAGGGATCACCGGATGGAAAATTAACTTTTATATGGTGCAGACGGCCGTACACAAGTCGACTTACACCGAAAGAGTAACGATGTGTGACATAGGATGTAGAAGTTGCGTAAGCTATGATGCCTCTCTGGTCAACCGCGTTTGTCATTGCGTTGTGCGTCAAGTTCAGGGGTTACTCTTTCACCGTAAATCGTTGTGTGTGATAAAGTTTTAAATATGGATATTTTTCTTACATGAACACATCGCTTCACTTCAGAAAACCATTATTAACCCCCGGAGCGATGTGGAGAACTTTAATCATGGAGGGATGCACTTTGATGGACTTCCGAAGACATGGAATTCACTCCCATTATAAAGCTTGGAAGAGCCAGGGCATTTTTTTTAATATTGTATTGTATTTGTCTGAAAGAAGAATGTCAAGTACACCTAATTGCTTCAGGGTGAATAAATCATGGGCTCATTTCATTTTTGGGTGAACTATCCCTTTAAGTCATTCCCTTAGATGAGGGGAAATCACGCCTTAAAGGGTTAGTTCACCCAAAAATGAAAATTGTGTCAGTATTTACTCACCCTCATGTTGTTCCAAACCTCTATGTGTTTATTTGTTCTGCTGTACACAAAGGAAGATATTTGGAAGAATGTTTTAATCAAACAGATCTCATTCCCCATTGACAACCATATGTATTTGGTAGTCAATGGGGAATGAGATCTGTTTGATTAAAACATTCTTCCAAATATCTTCCTTTGTGTTCAGCAGAACAAATAAACACATAGAGGTTTGGACCAACATGAGGGTGAGTAAATACTGACACAATTTTCATTTTTGGGTGAACTAACCTATTAAGTCTCATACTTAAGGGAAAAACTTTGGCCCAGAGGAAGCCTTGAGGAGGCCTGATTAGGCCGCAGAAGTGACAGTGGAAACACAACTGGCCCTGGCATACTAGGCACGCTCGCATTTGGCCCGAAAGTTTGGCCGCAGCATTTTGAACCGCTTGTAATCTTTTCAAGGATGAATTAAAAAGACAAGAAAAAAAAAAATACAATAATCAAAGCGGGAGGAAAACAAAGCAGGTATAATCATCTCAAAATCTAATGTGGACTGGACTCAATTGACCTCAGTTTAACAATGTTTCTCAAATGATAAAAGCAAGTACAGACTAGAGAATTAACACGCTGATTATACAAGGCTTGTCCCAAATAAACACCATTACGAAGGGTAGGCCAAATAAAAGGCCAATACTTTCCATCACCTTTGGGAAAACACCAGCAGGAGCAGAAATAAGAACGTTTTTTTTTCTTTTTTTTTTTTTTTCTTCAGTATTTAACCTCAAGCAATTCACAAGGATATACAAGGTATATGGGAGGAAAGGATCAGGAGCATTGCTATCTCATTTATCTTACCCACAAAAAAAAATTAAAGTAAACTGTCAATTGAAATGATTTGAACAGCAGGTGATGGAGGATAGAAAATGTTATTGATGGTGTCAAGCATAATGTACCTAACTTGCTAGATAAAAGATTGGAGAAGTATTTTAAAGTAAAGTTATTTTAAATGTTATAGGGAACTAGCGAGTAGATTTTCATAAGCGCACAGTTTTAAGAAAAATCTGTTTAAAGGAACAAATACCATCATTCATCCAGGGGGTGGAATAAGTCAAAGGATTTCTGCTCAAGATTTGAAAAGAGGAATTCTATCCAAGATTGTTATCTTCAACAACAAAACAAAAAATATATATAATAATAATAATATGTACATTTTTTTATTTATGCCAAGGCACCATTTCTCATTTTCGTTCAATTTAAGTTGAACCAAAATAGCTAAAACTAAAACTTAATAAAAACTATATAGAGATATTTGTAACACTTTGCAATAAGGTTCAAATAGTTCACATTATTAATTAACTAACATTGAGTAATACATTTGTTACAGTATTTATTAACCTTTGTTAATGTTAGTCAATAAAAAAAAAAAAAACACTGTTCACTGTTTTCATGTTAGCTTGGACAAATTATATCCACTGTGAACAAATGGAAGCTTTTTGCCAAGTGTTATCAACATATTTAATATTCAGTCATATTTAAATAAAATATATATATCAGCAATATATATATGGGATATATATATGTATATATTTATATTTATATATACATCTTTAAGTACGGGCAAATTTACATCTTTCTTTTGTTGCTGTTGTTGTTGTTATTTTTATTTTATTTTTTTGACGTTACTCTTTGTAACAACATCATTTTGTGTCATTTGTGTTGCTCTCTTTGCACATCTTCGGAAATTAAAATAATTCATACTGCAATTTTCCATAGTTAACCACCTCCAAGCGTCAGTCTATTATAACCACAAGAAGAGATCTTTTGTGTTTCTGTCGAGAGAGTGTTTTCTCTGACCTTGAGTCGAAAGCAGACGAGGCCCATCACAACGTCAGCTGAGATCTCAAAGCGTTGATCAGCTCTCACCAAAGACTCAAACTCTTTGGCCAACCCTACATGCTGAGACAAGATGAGCAAAGCATTTTAGATATGAGATGCTGCATAGACAGATAGATATATGGATAGATGGATAGATAAATAGATCAGAAAACAAAATGTAAATGCAGACTAGCACAATTTTCATATTTCTTTGGGTGCAATACTCTTTCAAGCATACCAGCAGAGGGCAGTCTGTAGAATCAAATAAACAACCAAAATATGAAAAGGTGAATGATTGTGTCCTATCATTAGAAAAAAATGTCCTATTGTAAACTGGACTGTAAAATAAAGTGCTACCGAAATGTTTAAAAGGATTGCATAAAACATGCATAATCATGTTTAAGGGGTTATTATTATTATTATTATGATAAAGTAGCATGTTTACGAGCTGCTAAATGCATGAATTAAAATGTTAAAAAGGAATTAAAAAACAAGTTAATTAAAAGTAAATCCATAAAATGATCCCATGATGGTCTCTGTAACGCTGACAGAACTCTATATCGAATCTTTTCTTCTAGTGTAACTTTGAGTAAACTAACAAGAACAATAATATATTTGTTTATTTTTTAAGAATACATTTTAAAATGTATTTACATTTTTACATATTTAAAATACATTTTTACAAATGTATTTACATTTTATTGCACTATACTTCTTAAAAAAAAATATAGAACCTGGACCAGACTTCCCATAGTACATGTGCAGAACTGAACACATAATGTCTTTCAAAAACAAATAGAGTGCACTGATTTGCGTCATTCCAAATCGGCTGTGGAGCCGAATAAGATGTGACTGGCAGGGCTAATTTGATTGACAGCATGGATTAAAGGCAGTTACCTTGCGGATGTAGGCTTGGAGACCTTTGAGTCCGTACATGCGGAACACAAACCACAACTTCAGAGAGCGGAACCTACGTCCCAATGGAATTTGCCAGTGCTGAAGGGAGATGAGATGAGATATGACATATGAACTGTGCACACATAAATACAGATGAATCACACAGGTACAAACCAGTGCACATTCACTTATTCACACTGCTCTCTTGTCTCATCACCTATACTTAAGTTAATTGGCATTTAAATGGGTTCTTAGTAGTTCTTAGTTATGGTTCTCAACTGGTTTTGCTCCTGGACCAAAATTTTACATTGTTTAAAAAATTGTATTAACAGTAATACAATTAGCAAACAAATACAATTTGCATTAAATATGTTAATTAATAACAATTTGCTAAATATTTTAAAAACACTTATTAACAATAAGGTTTCATTATTTAACATGAACTAATAATGAATAATACTCACTGTTCATTGTTATTTCATGTTTGTGTATTAATTTACTAATGTTAACAAATACCTATAACACTTTATTGTAAAGTGTTACCAATATTTTAAAGATGCTTATCATTTTTCATTTTTGAATGCATAAACCACATCAATTCACTGATCTAACATGGAACGAATACTGGGGTATATACAGTATATAATTTATTAAGCCAGATTACCAGTAAAAAGGTTTTATTGGTCTATTCTAAATATGTATCTATGCAATTGTACTGTTTCCCTTAACCCTATCAGAGCCTATCAAGACCTGCAATATTTTTTTTAGTCACAACTCACAATCCGTCACAATACACACAAACACACACACAGTATACTTACTCTATAATCAGTGACAAGCCCTATAAATATATATAAAAAAAACATATTTCAATATTTATTAAAATCACACTAGCAAGAAAGTTCAAGTGTCAATAATATACGCAGCACAACAATGATTCATTACAAATAACAAGCAATAAAATATTTAAGAATAACAGTTCTTTTTTCCATCTGGCCAAGCCTGATGATAATTTAATCAGGAAGTTGTTCATGATAGAAATGGCTTTAAGGTGTGTATGCATATATGCACGTGTGTGTGTGTGTGTTGAGAGAAAGGGCTGCTCTTTTGTCTTGCTGTCAGCACAATTACAATCGTCTGCACAGCTGCACACTGCCTACAGACATATGATAAACTGTCTTTGTTTAGTCATGTTTAAATGTCCAACAAGCAACAGGCAGCTCATTGATTGATGGATTTGAAGAAACTACAGAAATAGAAGGAAATCAGATTAATGATATTGAATTAGACATAAAAATATCAAGGCATCTGCAAACAAATATCGAATTTTACTTGTACCCATGGTGTAAAGGTGATTTACAGTGAATGTATGAAGCATTAGTTCCCTTTCTAAGCGGAACTCAACACTGCATCTTGGATTGACGCCAGGGCCGGATTGGAACTCATTTTCAGCCCTGGAGTTTCATGCCTTAGACCGGCCCACTTTAGTTCCCGACTGACTATATTAAAATAATGTAATTAAAACCTCAGCATATAAGCAATAGTGTTCTATACAGCCTTGTAATTCATTGTATTTTTCAAAAATATTATTTTCTATTCAGTGCAATAGCCGGGTATGCTCCCCCGGGATTTTTTTTTTTTTTTTTTTTTGAAAGTTTTGAAGTTTTGTGCAAAGAAATATAAAATAAAAGTAGGTCTAGCAAAGTCTTATATTTCTGCAAGTCACACAGAATAAACTCAAATATTCTGGTTGAATAGATTGCTAGCTGAGAAACACTGCTTTAATTGTATTTATAACGACTTTGTGAAATGTTAACTAAACAGCATGAGCCTCTTCAGCTGGCCAGTAAGGTTATTTGGCAAATTTCATTCTGTAACATACAGATCTGTATAATGCTATTGTTTTTGATAGTGATATAGCCTATATTTCTTACAGAAAATCACGATGATCATTGCGTTTGTCTTACCGAATGTGGTAGCTTTATGCAATTACAGTTTGTCTATAAGCTTTTTTTTATTTTTTATTAACGCTGACAGTAAAGTGTTGCCAGATATTGCTGCGAAAAACAAGCAAAACAAAACAAAATAATAATAATAATTAAAGCTGCAAGCAGCATTTATCGGTGTTCAAGCAGTTCAGGCCTTTACGCACAAAAGCATTGAAAGGCATTCAATTTTATTTAACATGCATTTATGCACGGACATAATAGATGTAAAACACCATTTACAAACAATACATTACGCGATTATAGCACCACCTATGATCCGATCCTCACGAAACTTTGCATGCTTCCTAACCATGTTAGGACACATATGCTCACCGATTTTTGTGAAGTTGTGACTTTTTGGGGGGGATTTAGGGGCTTTTGACTGAATTTTGCCACAGACCACTATCTAAATGAGCCTGTTACAGCCAACCAAATGCAAAATTTCAATTTTTTTTCGATAATTATTGATCTAAGAGAGTCCAGTGAATAGGCCTAGACTGGTTTGGTCCCGATTGGGCAAAAAACCAGGGACTAGTTCGCAAAAGTGGGTTTTGGACAAAAACCAAAATAACAATTTTTTTTTTGCTCCAAATGGAAATCCGAGATATACATCTTGTCCGTCTTGAGCCAGGGGTTACAGTGGTGTAAAAACATTGAAGTCAAACGGTCTAGGAGTTATGAGCAATTTAGTACTTTTGGCTGCTGTAGCGCCACCTATGGGCCAATCGGGGTCATACTCTGATAGCTTCTCCACAATTCGAGGCCCTACCATCTGACAAAGTTTCACAGCTCCAGCCCTTACGGTTTGGGCTGCACGATGCATTTTAGGGGATTTTTTTTCTTCTTTCTAGCAAATACAAATAGTATAATAAAATAATAAAAATAATAAAATAGTGGGGCTGCGCTGTGACTGGAGCCTATGAGGGAAAACATTCACCCAGTGCCATGACAACGCCGGCCCTCCTAGCCAATAAAACAGACCGGCCCACCGGGAATTCTCCCGGTGCTCCCGATTAGCCAATTCGGGCCTGATTGACGCTGTGTGGAACGCCAATAGCCGGTGTCTGAAGTATGTGTATACAACAATTTCATTGGCCAATTACAGTCAATGACGGCATTACCGGAACGCCCCCCATTCATAAAAGAGGGCACGTGAAGTACACATCATCAACTCTTTTTTGTCTTCAGGAGACACTTGTTTATGTTCAGATGAAACAAATGCTACGGATGGAGCGTGATCGACTCCTCGAGGAAGCTGGATGTGCTCTTTATGATGCATTCGTGAGACTTAATGAAAGACACTGGTAATAATCTTTGTTCTTCCTTGATTCTCACCCAAGGGATAGTAGTCAGCATTTGCACAAGCACATCCGGCTGTCGATGAAGTTGAGGGCACTTTGTTGCAATCTTGTTGCAATCTTGGCAGCAGACTCTGGTGATAAGAATCTGGCTTAGAACCGAACATGTTCGACTCTCGAGCAAGCTTTGTGGTCGTGGTGAGAAGCTCCACATAGTACATGCTTGACTCTCTCTTGAGGGATGAGATTTCAGCGCCTACACCCTGAGGTGCCGAAGAAGCTACAATCGCGGCGATTGTAGTTGGAGCGTGGGAAGGTGTGATAGGAGGAAGGAAGTCCTTTACCTTTCTGGACTCCTCCTACTAGCTGTAATACTTTCATGCCAGTTTCTAATCTCAAACAAAGAGAAGACAAGAAACTGATTAATGTGGAATTCTAAAGGAATAGATGGAGAGGGAGTTTGAAGAGGATGTTGTTAACAAATCTGCCCCCTCTGCTGTCCACAAGTAGACATCAAATGTTTATGGAACCATCCAACCAAGTTGAGGCGGATGTGTTTGATGAGGTTATATTGCTTATAGTGAGCTCTCCCATCCTGCCAGCTCTGCCTACAAGGAGTTGCTGAAGGTGATGGCTTACGCTTGGTCTAGGCTAGATCTGGTTTGAGGGTGCGAGAGAGAGGAAGTAGCACTTTTGAGGAGCGATTCCTGTCAGGCCATAACTGCCCTGCTCCAACCCTTATTTTGTTGAAAAAAAAAACATATTTTGTTGATCCTGGAACAACATTCCTGTCAAGAAATATACTGCCCATAAAGTCTCAGTTCTAAAGTAGAATCGTCCTCAACAGTCCTGTAGAACCTAACAATTAGAGCGTAAACTGCCTTTTAGCTGCTCTTCTTGGGACCCTGGACAGATGTGAGTGTAGAGTAGAACCCTCCCCTACAGTGGGGTTCTAAAGTAGTGTCATCCACTCCCTGTTGGAGCTCAAACACTCCCAGAAAACCTGACAAGTAGAGGTTAATTTGCCTTGTAGCCGCTCTTCTTTCTACCAGGTACCTATTTTCAGGTGCTGGGAGTATTGGGACTTTTGACAGGTTTGAGTATGGAGTAGAACCATCCTCTGCTGTTGGCGTTTTAAAGTAGGGTCCACCACTCCCTGCTGGGGCCTCAAACAGTCCTGTAGAACCTAACAAACATAGGTTAAGTTGCTTTTTAGCAGCTCTTCTTGTTACCCTGGACAGGTTTGGGCAGTCCTTTCATGTTGAGTGTGGAGTAAAACCCTTCACTACTGTCTGGGTTTTAAAGTTGGGTCCACCATTCCCTATTGGAGCCTAAACTGATCTCTTAGAATCTGGCAAGGAAAGGGTTAATTTGCCTTCTGGTAGCTCTTCCTGTTACCAGGCACCTTTGTTAGGTGCTGGGAGTCTTGGGGTCCTAGAGTACTCCAGGTAGGGTGTTAGTGCTATCGCCAGATTGTATTGGGGTAATAGATCTAAAGCTCCCCTGCAGCTTCCTTGAGGTTTTATGAAGAGAGGAGGGTGAATAATTATTCTAAATGAAAACCCCATGTGTTTACTCTCTATATTAATCATAGTAGTAGGCCAGGGTAGCACATAAAAATGGTCTCCCTGGGCCAGTATTCTTGAATGGATGTGTCAAGCTAAAGAAGCAGTAATAACTAAATCTTAGAGGTCTGCTCCAGGGCCACATATGGCCAAGGCTGGGCCCACAAGGAAGGGAGGAAGGTTGAAAAGGGCTGGGACTTTCCTTGTCACAGGGGCATATGATCATGGGTAATTGTTGAGGGGAATATTAGCACTTGATGGTCTATGAGTCTTAGGATGCGCGACCCTGTATTAATGATGCTTCTGACTCCAGCTAAACAAGTCAATAATGCTATGCCCATTGTGGTCACATGCACAGCAAATGAGGCAGGCATTCCATCAACATGGCGGAGTGAGTATTGGTCCACCATAATGTCGATCCAAAATCCAGTGTTGAATTCCACTTTGAAAGGGAACGCCTAAGGTTGCGGATGTAACCGTGGTTCCCTGAGAAGGGGAATGAGACACTGTGTCTCATTGCCATCGCTCGGGCTTGCCTGCACGTCTCATTAAGGCAAAAATTTTATGACGTCTATTGCAGGTGCCCTCTTAATTGCACGGAAGCTCTGCCAATGATATTTTCATGTGTATACACGCAGTGTTGTGCAAGTTACTTCCAAACTGTAATACATTAGGTATTACTTGTTACTGTTATTTAAAAGTAATTCATTACCTTACAATATTACTGTCCCAGAATTGTATTGCGTTACATTACTCATGTATTACTTTTGAGTTACTTTCACCAAAATAACTAAGTAGAACTTAACTTTTGGGCTGTAACGATATGCAATATGAAACCGAAATCGCGATTTGCCACACGACTCAGATCCACGAACCTACAGAATCGCGACACACCTCTTCCAACTCCAGCGTTATTCTCCTTACCGTCCAGATCCAATGCTGCCTTATCTTTAAATTAGGCTATTAGTATTATTTGAAGTTAACATTATAAAATACGTAGACCTACACCTCATACTAGTTGAGGATAAATTATTTAAAATTGGGGAAGTCCAGCATTATGGACATGACATTTGCAGTCAAAACTTGAAATAAAAATTCTCAGAAAATACATGTATTGAAACGTATATAGGCTACTTCCTTAAAGGACTCCAGACATTAGACAAATATCAGTCTATGTTTTATTTTTAATATTAGGGAAAAGACACACATTCATGCGTGACAAAAAAATAGGAGGCAAAATATATTTTTTGTAATTCTGTTAATTACACTGCGCAAATCGGATGAGGAAGGGTTGGCTCTCCAGTCTCCATAGAACTTAAAATATTCATTTAATTTTAGTTTTCGTGTTCGCATTTATGAGGAAAAAACAATGTTACAGACGCGACCGCTCTGAACTGGCACTAAAAGACTGCTTTAAAAATTTCACATAGTCTGTTGCCTTTAAGAAGTAAAAGCAGACAATACACTGTAATACAACTGTAATAGAAGCCTCACTGAACGTGTAACGAGTAAAATATTACTGAAAATTGATTAGTAATGCCTTACACTACTGCGTTACAGCAAAAAGTATGTTACTGTAATGTATTACTTTTGTAATGCGTTACTCCCAACACTGTATACACGTGCTTTAGACACCCATCACACTGATGGCATTCCCCATAGCATAGCTCCAAGATGCAGTGTCTCATTCCCCATCCCAGCGAGCCATGTTTACATTCGTAACCTAAGACGTTCACCTATGTGATGTAATGTAAAACACATGTTTAGTTTAGTTAAAATGTTTAGTTAAGCACTGATGCCAACTACTTTCAAATGAAAGTAGGTAAAGCTTGTTTGAAAAGTTGGTAATTGTCAGTAAATGACACAATGTGCTAAATACATAAAATGTGCACTCTGTATACACAAACTGTATTTAATATAGCATAATTCATAATAGAGCTGTTTTTATTTATATATTTTTCTTTTTCTGTTGTCAGATTACAGAACAACTAGGAAATGGTCACTGAAATGAAATCAACTTAACAGTTTTTTTTATGGAATACTACAATATTAAATATAAGCAGTGCTGGGGAAAGTAAAAAGTAATGCATTAAAAAGCTGGTTTGAAAAGCCGTTTTACTCAGATATACAGGAAAAAAGACAATTCCCATTTCTGTTTCATACCGACTGTTAACAAGCAATCAATTCCAAGACATTGAATATTAGGTTTATTTAAATACACAAATAATATATTTTAATCTTAATTTAGATTTTTTTTTTTTTACGTTTTAGTTTGAAAAAAAATGTGCCAGTTCTATTTGTCCTCAAAATAGAATATGTTATATTAATAGCATTATGATAACATTTTGATGTCTAATGCATTTTTAAGTGTATCTTAAGCATCCAAAAAATTGTCATAACATATGTCAAACACATGCAAAAACACACCAAATCTACTTGAGGTCAGTGTAGGAGGTTAGAAAGCTGTTGTTTACCAGCACACAGAGAGGCTTAAATAATACAGCAGAGCACTAAGGGGAATAATCTGATCGAGCCTTCAGTGTGACGTAAAGTAGATGTCAGCACAAAACGTCATGTCTCACTAATGAGGATCACGGTCATCCTCTTTACACCTCATGCTAATGCACTTCAATCTTTTATTAGTTTTTATTATACTTATTCTTTACAATAATGACTGATATTTTTCAGTGCTAAACTACCATTCTAAATTTATAGGATTGTGTCAGCAACTGAAATGTAAATGTATATGGTGCAAAGTGATGTAGTGATGCCACTGATTAATTACCTGACTCTTGGTGATCATGCTTTAGATAAAGCGGCTCCATTTTAAATGCTCCAATAAGGTCTGATCTTTTCTTCACCCTGCACAGAGACATTCACATTCATCACTCACAGACTGTAGGAAACAACAGTCAGTTACTGTACACAAGTGTGTGTACAATATATATATATATATATATATATATATATATAAATAATTATTATTTAAATGTTGTATAATGGCTAATTAAAATATTATTTGCTACACTCAAAAACATGATATGTTGGCTTTAATTAACTTTTTTATGTTAGCAGGTTCCATTAATTCACTTTTTTATGTCAACAGGTTCCACATAACTGGGTTACGTTAAACCTGATTTGTTCATGTAACTTCAGCATCATGGCATAAGTCCTTTTAAGCGACCCAATTAAGCTCTGAGCAGAGTGTTAAATGAACACTGAAGCAGTGTTAAAGTTAATGAGATAATTAAGTGAATAATTGAGTGATGATTGAGCATTGTTGAAGATGGTAACAAGCAGAATCACTGAAGGAGAAAACCGGAACGTTTAAGTCATAAGCCATTATGGGGTTTAGGGTTTGTTTTAGTTGGGTTCTTGACCCTCACATAATTAAGTTTAGATTTTGTTTAGCTGCTGTACATGTGGTATAACAGCCAGATGAACAAATAGAAAAGGTGATCTGATGGTGTTGGTTATGTTTTAACATAATCATTATTTCACAATCATTTGACCTGAATCACTGAACTCATACAGAACCCAATTTCTGAGTTATGTTTACCTTATGGGTTATAGCAGCTATGTCATTGTAGAGCAAACAATTTTAAGCCTTTTCAATGATATCCAAATTATCAAATCAATAATAATAATAATAAAAAATGTATGTATATATACATATATATATATATATATATATATATATATATATATATGAATTATCAGCAATGGTGACATACAGATCACCTCCTAACATAAGCTCATTATTTATTCATGCAGCAATACATGATGGGAGCCATGAATGAGTTTTTCCTGGTGGCACCCAGAATGCACTGCAACATGCTTTATAATTGTCACCATTGTTGAGATTCAAAGGCACAGGCTTCTACATGAGTTCAGTGATTCAGGTCAAATGATTGAGAAATAATGATTATGTTAAACACAACAAACACCATCAGATCATCTTTTCTATTTGTTCATCTGGATGTTATAACACATGTACAGCAGTCAAACTGAATCTAAAGTTAATTATGTGAGGGTCAAGAGATCAAATAAAATATACACTTATCACCATAATGGTGACTTGAACGTTCTGTTTTTCTCCTTCAGTGATTTTGCTTGTTACTCTAGTTTCTTAAATAATGATCAATCATCCCTCAATTATTCACTTTCTTAACTCATTAACTTTAACACTGCTTCAGTGTTCATCGCATAAAATTACTTAATTCCATGGTACTTAATTCCAAGTTACATGAAAAAATATGCGTGTTTAACGTAACCCAGTTATGTGGGAACTGTTGACATAAAAAAAGTTAATTAAAGCCAACATATCATTTTGTATGAGTGTATTATGGATCCTGATGTGACAGTGTAAGCTTACTGGATCTATGCAAATGCTTTATCTGCATTTTTTGGGGGGGACAAAACTTTTAGAACTTAGAACTTAGAGATACAAAAAGAGATACAGAAACTGAAAACAAGCTATACAGTGTAGACACAGTGTGTCTAGTATGTGAGAATCTGTTTTAAGTGGTGTTCCTTTTCAAGCTTAAGAATAAGTGTTTTGCGTTATGATTTTGTTCTAGTGTGGCTTAAAAATATATAACAGTTTGGCCCACAGACCAAATGAAGCACCAGGGAGCCCAAAATGACACAATATTTAACAAAAACAAACAAAGAGAAAGTGAGGTATAAAGAGATGATGATATAACCTCAGAGTTGAATCAAGACAGTGCCGATCAAGTTCTGTTAAAGAGCCTACTGGTATAAAAGGGGATTATGCATTGAGATACAACCATATTTTTTTCTCAACAAAGTAACTTCTTTATATTTGTAGTATATACTGTATATACACTCTAAAAAATGCTGGGTTGTTTTAACCCAATTTTGGGTCAAATATGGACAAACCCGAAATGTTGGGTTAAAAATGTAATGTAAAAATTTAACCCAACGGCTGGGTTAGTCCATATTTGACCCAAAGTTGGGTTAAAACAACCCAGCATTTTTTAGAGTGTATGAATGTGAGAATCTTTCTTTTTATGTACTTGCAGTACAGTACATAATACACCAATGGTTAGCCAGTGACTAAGACAAGTCGAGTTCATTTTTAGAAAAGGTCTTGGAACATTTGTTTTAAGGTTCAAGGTTTAAGGTTCCCTTTATTGCTATTCAGCACTTTACAGAAAAGTGGGAAGAACTGTTTGACAAAGAGGCAGGGATTCAAGATTTGTTTCCAAAGTGAATAATTTCATACATTTATAGCATGTGCATCTCAAGTGTCAAACTATTTACTGTCACTTTTGATCAAATGAATGCATTATTAATTTTATTCAAATAACTCAATAAATAAAATCTTCCTGCCCCCAATCCTTTGAATGGTAGTGTATATCAAGGTCAATTTGAGTCCATATATAACCATGATGACCGCATCTGTTTGCATGGCAGCTAGAATCGTTTCCTCTGTTGCCTGACAAAGCTGATCCATATAGTGTGTTGGGATACAGTAGATTGGGTCAGAGGATTCATTAAATAATCCTTTTCACACTTACCACAATGTAGAGCAATCAAAGTTGACCAGGAGCCATTTATGAGGATTGAAATTGAAAGAGTCTGCAAACTAAAAGAGAAACACATTTTGATGTTTTTAACACTTTGAGACAGTGGGCAAAAGTAAAAAAACTTGCCTGTCATTGGTAAAATTAACAGCCTTTGCCTAATCGAATGTGGTTTCATTGCGATTATTTTTGCAGCCCTAATAACAAAAAATAATAGAGAAGCCAGGCAACACAAGAAATACAGAGAACTAAAAAACAGAGACACGCACCAACTACAATCTACATCTGACAAGGAAAAAGGGAAACACAAGGGCTGTGTCCGAAATCACCCCCTAATCACCCCCCTGTGTCCGAAACCATAATGGAAGTCATCGAGTGAACTCATTCAATCTGTCATGTCTTGTTTTGGTCATGTCTCATGTCTTTGTCATGTTTCCTGTTGTCATTTGATTTCCTGTTATGTGATCCAGCCACGTGTTCCCTTGTGTGATGTGTCATGTTGTCATTGGTTCATTGTTTCATTGCATTGGCTAGTCTATAGTCATTGTGTATTTAAGCCTTCATGTTTGCCATGTGTTCTTTTCAAGCATTTTTTGTGTAACCAAGCGTTCTGTTAATGTCCATGTTTTGGACATTCTCTTTTAATTGATTATTAAATTGTTTAATTGAGGTTTATACATGCTAGTAATATCCATGAGTTCAAGATGAAACTTTTCGTCTTATTACTGGAGCATCCAGTTTGCTAAGTTTCAAATAATTATCAAACAGCAAACACAGGCTGTGTCCGAAATCTCCCACTACTCACTATATTGTGGACTATATAGTGAGCTTGCCATTTTGTAGTGCTGTCCGAATGTATAGTGATGATTATTATACCCTATATAGTCCACTCAATGTATCCCAGAATGCATTTTGAAAAGGTCACTGACCCAAGCCCTACATACCATCATGCATTGCGCTGAACGTAAAAATGGCGAACGGCGACAGCAATGACATAATCACCGGCGCCGAGAGAAGATCGAGTAGTGTCCGAAAGTGGTGTTTCTATTATGCTGGTGAGCTCACTATATAGTGCTACATAGGGGGTAGGGAGTTGTGGTTTGATTGGAGATTTTGGACACAGCCACAAACTTTGCAAAAGCGGCAGCCCTTCTGGCACACTCATTTTTCGATTTCATTTCCCTCGTAACTATATTTGTTGAATAACGTTGAGAATAGCAAAGGGTGCGATGCGTGTTAACAATCTAACAAAACACATCTGGGAACAATCAGGGAACTAATCAACATGATAACATTATGAGGGACTACAAACATGGCACATAAATAGGAAGTAACACAAAAGTTCAAACAAGACATGGGGAAGATATAACACTATTTTACAAGTATGAAAGTTTTACATGAGATATTTTGCTAAGATTGTCTTTATTACAACCATGACATCTGAGCTCTATACAAAATTGTTTGGGATTTTAAGATAATTTCCATCATGTTAAATAGGTCCAAAGAGTATCAAGCCAATTGGGCTTTATGCCCAGCTGCACTACTTCCTGAAGTTCAGCCAGCTCCTTGTTTCCTGTCTGCCATTATTGGCCAAATTGATTAATTCAGGTGTACCTGACCTCAGTAGTCATGGCAACAATAATCAGACACACCTGAATTAATCAATTTGGCCAATAATGGCAGACAGGAAACAAGGAGCTGGGTGAAGTTCAGGAAGTAGTGCAGCTGGGCATAAAGCCAATTCTGTTATTCATTTATTGAAGTGATTGCTAGGTTTGTCAATATTTACAAAATAATAATAATATTAATAATTGGACAACATTTTGTATTTGGGCAAGAAAAAAAAAACATTTTTGAAAACATGGAGATTGCAACCAAACATAGGTGAATAACTCTGAATAATTTAATCATTTTTGGAACCTCTTTACTCAAGAATCAAGAATCTGTGTTAAAATAAAGACTGTAATTTTGAAATATGAAAATAAAATGAAAGATGAGTCATCCGTCACCTGTTGGATATGAACTAGCCTACTCTTGAGTCTTGACTCTGATGCAATGCATCAAACTTCACAATCAACAGCAGCATCTGTCCAATGAGCATTCGAACAGAGCCACTATCTCAAAGTCTAATCTTTTTGCTCACTCCCCCCTTTCCAATATCCTTTCTCTCTACTGCAATAAAGAAGGCAGACACTGTCATGACAGTCTGAATGTTGCCAGTTTCCAGTCGTGCCTGTCTTGCAAACCGGAAACAGCAGCCAACCGTCATTCCGGTCAATAATAAAAACCATCGTCTGAGCAGCGCAGCACTATCTGCACTATTGTTTGAACTAGTGATGCTAATAAACAGTGATATTTCTTTAGCAGGGGAAAAAAGAACTTATCTAAAGGTCTTTCTTTGCCTCAGGAAATTACTTTACCCTTATCATTGCGACACCCAGCTGGGTGCCACGTCAACTCAAAGGACGATCAGGGATCTCTAATTTCCCACCCATTCCACAAGACATCGCTCATGCCAGCTCGCATCATTGGTGACATTTAAATATTCTCAATCGCACACACACGACTCCGTCCTCCACATGCCGTTCCCAAGTAACAGGATCAATAGTTGAGCCCAGCACAGATTGCTCTTCTGTTATCACTCACACCTTTCAAGGCTTTAAGAGCAGTCTGTGTGAAGTGTGCTTAAGAACACAATGTTTGATTTGAATGTTATCTCACCTCTACTCCATTCAGGAGGGGTCTGAACTCCGGACAGATAAATGCACTCCCAGCATATGCGGCATCAATGTGCATCCAGATTTTTTCTGCATTACCTGACATAGAAATATTGACAATCAAAAATATTCATCAAAATATTCCACAATAAAGCTACAACAGAAAATAGCAATAAATGGTATTTGGTCTTACAAATAGGGCCGAGCTCAGTGATGCAGTCGAAAGCACAGGATGGAGTTGTTCCCAATGTCGCACAAAACTAAGAAACATCAGAAAATCAAATAGATGGATTATTATGTATTGATTTTAATATTTTATGTACTAACAAATAAGTCAACAACCTACAATGTTTAATGGAAAATTCATTTTATCCCTGTATGATCACCAATAGATTTGCTCCTGCTTTTTTTTTTTTTGTTGTTGTTGTAATTCTTCTTAGATAGATCTGCTGGCTGAGCCTAGGGCTAATTTGACTAATGTGATTCAGAAAACAGGCTCTCCAAACAGCATTAGCCATCATGCAGACGATGGGGGACAGGTTCAGAGAAAGAGCAGAGACAAATGTCCAATTTGTTCTCATTTCATGCTCTCTAACAGTCTGAGTGGCTGCTATCTTTCTACCATGATGTTTGGCTGATTCTATTATTTTGTACTGTTAATTTTATACAGTATAGTGGATGGAAGTTATAATGTACAGTCAAACCTAAATGTATTCAGACACCTTCAACATTTTTCACTTTATCACAGTTTATTCACTATATTTGGAAAATGGTATAGGACAAGAACTCAAGAGTTATAGAATCAATTGATATTTCACTGGTTTTGGCCATCCTTAGACTGTCTCCCAAATGAATTAGGTTGAATAGCTTTCATTTGTTAAATTTGAGTACAGAATAAGATAATACCAATTTAGGTCAACTAATTGCCAAGAAATCTTAATTTTGTTCAGTCTGTGATGTAAAAAGGTTGCATTAGCAATTAATAAAAAAAAAAATAATAAAAAAAAAACCTTAAGCAAAACATGATCAGGTCAAAGTGTCTAAAGAATTTTTGAATATTTCACAAATTTTTTTGGGTCCACCATATGAGACATTTTTACTTACGTAAATTAACTATTGTGTCTTGCATCCACTAGTAAAAAATATATATATATATATATATATATATATATATATATATATGAAGAGTTCAGATGCAAAAGCCTCTAAGTGCCATTTGAAATTTTCTTCTAGAATGATCATTTTTTTATCAAGCTTGTATATTTAAGTTCAGTGATTTCACTTAAATGGCAATGATAATTACCAACACTATCTCACGACCAATTCGTACGAATTCGACGCATGATTAAAAAGTGGCTAATTCGTACTAATTCGTACGACCTCACTCGTACTAATTCGTACGATTTGTCTAAACCCACGTGATGGTTAGGTTTAGGGGCGGGGTAAGGGGTAGGTCATTCGTACGAATTCATACGAATTGGCCAATTCGTAAAATATGTACGATTTAGCAAAATCGTATTAATTCGTACGAGTGAGGTCGTATGAATTGTTACGAATTAGCCACTTTTTAATCATTCGTCGAATTCGTACGACTTGGTCGTGAGATCGGGTTGTAATTACCTATTAATTGTTATTTAACTGAACTTAAATATACAAGTTTGATAAAAATCATCATTAAAGAAGAAAATTTCAAATGGCATTTAGAGGCTTTTGCATCTGAACTCTTCATATATATATATATATATATATATATATATAGTCTGATTTATTTTTGGTTGTACTGTCTGTATATGACTACTGTACAACATGTTCCTTGATCCATGTCTTTGTTGATGCTGGAACAACATTCCAATCAACCAATCATATTTGAGGGTGAAGGAGACAATTGATCTCAAGTTAAGGGCTTACAACTAGGATTAGGTGCTTCAACATCAGTATTATTCACCTATCATTATTTTAGGGATCGGTTATGGGTACAGTTTAGAGTAAGGACAGAATTAAAAAAATTGTGGACATAAATCTTGTTCCAGGATCAACAAAATATGTCAGTAATAATACTTTGTTGCTTTATTTGTTGTTTTTCCACTGCTATTAAAATCAAGCATGTGATGATAAGATACATACAAAAAATGGAATGAGTCCTGTGGCTCTGTCCTCCTCTATAACTCTCCGCAATGCATCTCCTCGCACAGAAAACTTATTGTCAGAGAGAATCTTCTTCATCCGCACCCCACCTATCAACCCTGCCCTCTCCACTGATGAGTGCGCCTGAAATATCAACAACACACTGCAAAGTTATTACTGAATTAATTACTGTTTTAAAAACGTAACAATTACTGTCATGTCTAAATATTCAGAGTTTCCAATTATACTTTTACAGACACATATATAATGTAAGCACATTCATAAACAAGTGGCACTTCACTGTTATCCTGATTTTGCATTGTTTGACATTTTCCATTCAATGAGAATTCTTGCTAATCATCCCTACTCACCCCTACTAACTCTCATCCTTACTTACAGAAGAACACGACGCCATGGAGTTGAATGATGTGTATTATCTTGGAGATCATTAGTTTAAGTACTGTAGGTTAAATATACCCTTGCATTAATCTTTCATCTAGGCTTGTTGTCTCACCTGATCAGATGAGTAGGCGACTAGTTTAGATGTAATATATGCCTCAGATTGGTCAGGATGGTCAGCCTGAATCAGTTTGATGATTTTGGAACGAGCAGCAAGAAGAGCCATGAGAGTGGCTTCACTGGCAGTGCCCTGTAAGAACAAACAGCATATTTATTTATTCATTGGAACATGTCTACACAAGTACACCAAATGTTGCTATCTATATTGAGCTGTTCTCATAATTGGTAGGCATGTCCAATATTATTTGACACATAATTCTCTCATCTTGAATATTTAATTGAGCGAAACAACCTCAATCAGTATGCCCTGGTGATGCAGCGGTGATGAATTTTCATCAGCTCTCAAGCTCTATTTTGTATATTCTCAATGAGTGAATGAGAAGACTTCCACTCGAAACCCCTCAATAGAGATCACCTCAGCTGTTTGTGAGTCATGAGCTGTCTTTGATTTCCCTTTCTCAGCCTGACAGCTCACACCCACATCCTGATTACTAATGATTCGGTTTACTGGAAAACTATTGGCCCATTTGTTTGGGAATACAAGTGGCACATTTGTTTGGGAACACAAGTGAAACAACCTCCAATTTCAAATTTGGAGTGAAAATGTCATGACTGCAGTTCTGTCTAGACACCTCTCGGATTGATTGGCATGGGTATGACAATGAATGTTTGTATGTTTGGTCTTGGCGGAATATATCGCTACTCTGCTGCCGTTGCTGCTTTTATTGCTGCTGCGGCAGAGCAAGTACGGGACTTGCCTGCGAGAACAACACATTCTCATCCCAAAAAGTCATATAAATGACTTCTTGGGACGTATTTTGACCATACGTCAATATCCGCCTTTTTAGGGCCCCCTTAAACGTCGGTAGATGGCGATCCCGGGCCGTCATACAACTGACGCTTTACCTTTAACGTCAGTTAGGTGACGGGTTAGGTTTAGGGTTAGGTTTAGGTCTGGGGTAGAGTTAGGATCCCATAACCTCATCTACCGACGTTTAAGGGGGCCCTAAAAAGGCGAATATTGACGTATGGTCAAAAGACGTCCCAAAACGTCAGTTATATGACTTTTTGGGATGAGACTGCATTGGCGAGAAAGTAAGACATGCTGCTGCTGTACAATATAGCGTCCAAAAAAATAATAACAATAATAATATTGTTTCAAGTATAGGAACATTCTTTGGTTAAATGCCACATCCACCACATAACCCTACTGTATCATACTCGTCATGAAAATTGGGAAGGCCTTTATATTATCAACATGGGGATGGAGGGGGGTTCGGGTTCTGTCACGATTGCCTGTGTGTCTGTGTTCAAGGCCTTTTATTTTTATGTTATTTTGTCTTTTTTTCTGGTTTCAGTTCCTGTGATTTGGTTCCAGTTTCCATTGTCATCTCTTTTGTTTCCATAGTTACCTGTGTTACCATGTCAACTAATGACACCTGTTCTTCATTTAGCCCCTTGTCTTCTCTTGTATTTAAACCTTCAGACTTTGTCTGTTCTTTGTCTTGTGTTAACGTTTCAGGATGATAATGTATCTCTTTTTGTTTCCTAGAGTTCATTAAATGTTATCGTTCATCTGCATCAAGCATTGTTGTGGATAATCAAGTCAAGCCAGCAAGATCTCATTGATTTACATTACAATCTATCATAATCGTACTTTTTGACTATATAAATATCAGCAACTGCACCAAATCGCATATTTTTTCCTCTAATAAAAATGTGGTGTTATCCTCAAATATGAGCGTCATATTCTCTTCTATCACACTATATGAGCCAGAATGTATCAAATATGACACAGAAAGCCTAATGTATCAAATATGACCCTCAAAAAACTTTTTTTTGTCTAAAAGTTTGATCAACTGTTCATATGTCAGGCTTTACATGGTGAAGACTTACAAATGAATATTGTGAAGAATGAATGCACTCCAACACTTGCAGTGTCAAACGCTACATGCTCAGTTTTATATGTATAATTTACTTCTTACACCTGTTCTCCTCCCCTCTCTACTACGCCCACCTTTGCTGAAAAGCATTGCTTACAAAATCCACAAACTTCCTCATTAGTGTGTGCTATCAGTGAAAATAATGCATGTTGCCATAGTGAGCTCTCTGAAAAGCCCAGAGACAAAACCATCCAGGAGAAGGACACACTCTAAAGCGGCCCTAATGACAGAGCATCAAACCGACTGTCATCAGTGGGCTTTCCATACGCTGTGCTTCCTGTGTCTCTCTCTAAATGGTCACAGCTGCTCAACTGCTGCATCAATAGTGATGAAATGAACATGGACTGCTCTCAACGCACGCCTGCCTGACTGTCTCCTCTCATGTGTAGCTGACATCTTAAAAGGCAATTTCTACTGGACGTAACAATTGTCAGGGCCTAGGAAAGAAATCAATGACAAACAAATTGCTGTCATTGAAATGTATTTGATATTTGTTGCTGTTCAAAAGAAATTACCTGTAAACATGGATTGAGCATGTGGCATTTAAGTGGTTTTAAACTTCCCCTTTTTTGACACCTGACGCAAGATCCTGTTGCCGATTCAGATACTGTATTTTTTTAAATTTGTTGATATTAGAACCTACAGATGCTTAAAATTGAATGTTCATTCACATAGTTATATATATATATATCATCAATTTAAAATTATATTCAGTTATAAATTATCTTCTCCAATAACCTTCATGTACCCCTGGTTGAAAACCCTGCATATGTGATGCCATTCAAATAAACTTACTAGCAGCCAAAATCTTTTCTTAATTATCTCACCTGGATGACCCCTCCCCCTTTGCCCTCTGTACCCGCAAGAAAATCTTCTGGTAACTTCAGCATCTTTCCCAGCCAGTCCAGCATCACTGTCTCCAGCTCCGTACAGGCAGGACTCGCTGCCTACAAAACAAAAAATCCTGCATCAGCCTACAAGAACAGACAGGTGGCTAGATGGATGGATGGATGGCTAACTGGATGAAGGATATACAGATGGCTATCTGGATGATGGCTCTACAGATGGCTAACTGGATGTATATACGGATGGATGGATGGATGGATGGCTAGCAAGATGGATGGATGGATATACAGATGGCTATAGCTGGATGGATGGATGATATAAAAATTGCTAGATGGATGGATGGATGGGTGGATGGCTCAATGGATATGTAGAGTTGGCTAGATGGATGGATGGATGGATGGATGGATGGATGGATGGATGGATGGATGGATGGATGGACGGATGGACGGACGGATGGACAGGAAGGTTTAGGTTCCTAAATTGATGAATAGAGAGACAAATGGACAGAAAGACTGACTGGCTGGCTGGATGGATACAGACAGACAGAGAGCTAACTTGATGGATAGATGAACAGAAAGAAAAACATACCCAAGAAAATCCAATGCAGCCAATGGCTCCAGATAACATGTCTGCAAGCATTGCCGGAAAAGAGTGGGCAGTAGGGAAGTATGCATTGAAGTACGGACTGTGCCAGTGAGTAACCTGAAACAGTGCAGTAAACATGTAGAAACAATTGTTTAAAATTTATTTTCAATGGTCATAAAAAACTTTTTTTTTACAACCTCTGTATTTCCTTCTGTAACTTAACATTTACCAAGCTAAAGAATAAGGGTCAGTCAGATCTGTCAGATTTATTTTGGTTAAATATATTGATTCTATTGTTGTTTGCCTTCACTATTTTGAACAGGATTATGACTTAAGAAATAGTGACATTTGGGGTTTTTTTCTCTCAGAAAGTTAAAGGTTTGATGAAATTGTGATGGCTAGATTAAATTATTCCATGTGTTTAGCAGAGGAGAGAGCTTGAGGCACTGTGCGTCTGTCTCTCTTGCAGGATTTTCCTATTGTGAGTCATTCATTAGTTCCAGTACACACTTTTAAACAAGCATTAATACAGGACTTCTGAAAGGGAAAATTGGTCTAATTGGACACATTGGGAAGGTTAACACCTTCAACTGAATTAAAATGTTTGTTTTTTTCCTCTGAGCTATGAAATTAAGGTGTGGGGGAGGCTTTTCTCTGACCCCAGGTCAGAGTTTAATGATTAATTTCCTTACTATCAGATTACCAGCCACAAAAAGGTGGACTTTGAGTGTGTCTATGGAGAGAAAACTCTGAGGGTCTCTCAATATTAGCCACTGGCCCTTTAAAGAAAATACAGTGTATCTTTATCTGCACCTAATATTTTCATTTACATCATGGGGCAAGCATGGTGAATAACATAACTCCATCCTCCTATCTGTTTAAAAATTGGTAGATAAGTTTAAATTGTGTACATAATGTCATGAAGTGAAATATACACAACTTTAGATAAAATATGGCAGAAGTTCACTCCAATCTCCTGGTTCTACATTGGTAGAATAAAATAAAATAAAACCATCAAAGATTAAAAAGACTCATTCAACTAGATGTTACAAGAGCTCTATGTCTATAACTAGAATGTTTAGACTTTTTTTTTCTAGTAATTATGATCAGTTAAAAAAAGTTCGGGCCAATCAAATTGCCAGCTTTATACAATGATGGACAGATGATCTGCAGTTACGTAATCAAAGAGCACTTGAACAGGTTTCCCTCAAAGATGACTGCAGCTGGAGAATCGAGATGTATAGATTCCGCTATCGCGTCTGTTTTAGAAGCAATCGACAGCGCATTCATTTTTAAAAGATGAACACAGAACTGCAATAAAGGCATTTATCGATCAGAAAAGACGTGTTTGCCGTCCTTCCTACAGGATTCGGCAAAAGTTTAATTTATCAGCTGGCTCCGATGGTCGATAAGAAGATGGGACGCAATGAAAACCCAGTTGTCATTGTGGTTTCTCCTTTGGTCACACTCATGGAAGACCAAGTAAAAGAAGCAACCGAAATGGGCATGTCAAAGCTATCGCTGCATCAAACAATGGTGAGGCTTTGTTATACTACTCGCACACCTTACCCATACTGGTAGTTACTGTAAGTTACCCCTTACAAGCGGTGTATTTTTTAAAAATAAATTATTAGATGCTACTCATCATTTTGTATTTAGATCATCATTAAATACATAATTAAAACATCATTTTGGCTCCCGGTCTCTTTTCTCTGAAGACTCAAATGAATACGCTTCTTCAGCCTGCTCTTTCATCGTCTCTCCATTTATTAAAATCAGTGAAGTCGTGCTCCAACCCTGTTATAAAATTGAGACAGGTCTAGAAATTTGTTGCAGATTTGTTGGCTTTATTGACAAGATCTAATCCTAAACGGGGAACTTGTTCGTATACATTCATTAACACTCCAGAGTGCGTGCAGTTCAGTTCTGTTGAGAACTCGTTCAAAATACGTCACTTACTGCGTTGCTCTGATTGGTTGTAGGTCTATCCAGTTGAGTTCAGAGTTTGTTTGTTTTTTCTTTTCCTGGTTCGATTAAAGGAGTAGTTCACTTTTAAAAAACTTTTAAAAAACTTTTATCACTTTTGCTGATAATTTACTCACCCCCATGTCATCCAAAATGTCCACGTCTTTCTTTTTTTCAGTTGAAAAGAAATAAAGGATGCATTCCAGGATTCTCTCCATATAATGGACTTCATTGGGAACCAAATGGTTCAAGGTCCAAATGAGAGTTTCAGTGCAGCTTCAAAGGGCTTTAAACAACATCAGACAATGAATAAGTGTCTTATCTAGGACCCTTCGAGTCATGAACAAAAAAAAAGATTTGTTCATTTTGAAGAACGAGTTTGAACAGGAGAGTCACAAACGCTCGTCACAGAACAGAGCAAGGCGAGCATTTGTGCTTATAAAACTTAAACTTTTTTATTTATTTTTTTAAATAACCGATCATTTCATTAGATAAGACCCTCATTCATCGTCTGGTGTCGTTTAAAGCCCTTTAAAGCTGCAATGAAACTCACATTTGGACCTTGAACCATTTGGTTGAAGTCCATTATATGGAGAAAATCCTGGAATGTTATTATCAAAAACCTTAATTTCTTTTCGACTGAAGAAAGAAAGACATGGACATCTTGGATGACATGAGGGTGAGTAAATTATCAGCAAAATTTTTTTTTTTAAAAGTGAACTACTCCTTTAAAACATGCCTCATAATCAAAGCCCTATGGAGCAGTATCAGAATCACATTCTGAATAGAATATGAGTATGACGAAGTCAGGCTGTACAGTAATGTTACTTTCTACGATCTTACTGTTACACTGAAATTGTTCAGTCTAGTTCTAACCGTTTTCGTTATCATATTATACATTGCTTTCTCCGGTGTGTTGACAGTCTCAGTGTGGTCGGTACCATGAGTGCTCGCTCTTGTGTTCGAGCACGAGCAAGAGCACGAACGCCTTTTGTAAAAACTGTTTGTACTCTGAAACATCACCGATAGAGGCCGCTAAAAATACATATAGCACCTTTAAATAGATACAAATATTATTACTAGAAAACACATTTTAAATACAGATATTTTGCATATTCACTTTAGTATTTTATATTTTATAAAAAGGTATGTTTCTCTAATCAGTGTCTATAGACAGTAGTTGCCTCTGCTATTGGGGTGATGATGTCACAAACGTTTACATGTTCAGTAAGTTGTAAATTTGGTGTAAATTATCAATAGCCATCAAGACTTAAAATAATTGATCATAGATAAACTGACTTAAAGCTATATAGGTAAGAGAAACATCCTATTAAAGTATCATGCCTAAACGAATCTCACCAGTTCACCCAAAAATGAAAATTCTGCCAGCATTTACCCACCATCAAGTTGTTCCAAATCTGTATGAATTTCTTTCTTCTGCTGAGTACAAAATAATATATTTTGAAGAGTATGGGTAGCCAAACACTTGATGGAACCCATTGGCTTCCAAATGGAACCAGAAATGGACCGGTTTGGTTACCAACATTCTTTAAAATATCTTATTTTGTGTTCAGAATTCTCATTTTTTGGGTAAACTGTCCCTTTAAGACAGTAAAACAGCTGGTTATCACTGACTCACCCCTGGCATGATCACCCTCTCTATGTCTTTGACCACATCCTCATAGTTCTCTGCCTCCTCCGGGGCCTCCTCGGGAATCAATGGCCTTAGATATCCAGGTTCCACATCAGGGTAAACCTGCCTCTTCTCAATGTTCTCTATATAATCCGCCATATAGTCCACCATCTCCTTCCCGCGTCTCCGGAACTCTGCAGTGTCCATCGCTTTGGCTGAAGAGGAGTAGTTTTTCAGTTTGAGGAATAAAAGTAAATCTGATGTATGGCTCCTCTCAATGTCCTCAAATGACGAGAGCTGTAATTATATTACAGTAGTGTGATTGAGACTGTTTTCATGGACAACATAATTGTCAGTATATTAAGCGGAAAACTAGCCAAAGGCCAGATGATCAAGACATGAAAGGTAATTATAGCAAAATCCTCAACAATACCTTACAGTTTCAGTGAGTAACAGAAAACAATCCTGCAGCATATCAGTGTTATTTTACTTATTATTACTCTTATAGTTTTTGCTCATACTTTATTTTAAGGTGTCTGTGTTACATGTAACTTCTGCAGTGTCAGGATTAGGGTTTGGTTTAGGGTTACTTGCATATTTTTATATTCTCAGTTTTCATTTACTTTATCTATCTATCTATCTATCTATCTATCTATCTATCTATCTATCTATCTATCTATCTATCTATCTATCTATCTATCTATCTGTCTGTCTATCTGTCTGTCTGTAGGTTTTTTTTTTTCAGTTAATTATTGCGTTGTATCTTATAATATAAATAACATTGCAGCATATTTTGTGAAATATATGCACCTCATGAAATGAATTTACATTTGCATTTATAAATTTAGCTGACGCTTTTATCCAAAGCGACTTACAATTGCTATGTCAGAGGTCGCATGCCTCTGGAGCAACTAGGGGTAAAGTGTCTTGTGAAAAAAGGGAATGAAATGAATGTAGGTAGCTGTGTAGTTTAGTTTAGTTTACAGTCTTGTTTCCCATGTACATACTATGCACTAGTAATAACTGGAATATCTGGGTAATGGCTACTAACCCTGAACCTGCCCCTAAACACAACCTTAAACCCATGCAGTTACCTTATATTTTCATAGGTAAGTACAATGTAAGAACACTGTAAAATAAAGTGCAACCAATTAAAAAATAATCAACCATCATCCCTGCACATGAGTAGCAATATTTGCTGATAAGAACATTACAGGTTGCCAAACACATACTATAAAAATGAACAATGTGAACTTTCAAACTAAAGTTTTAACAGTGTGCTGGCATAGCTAATTTGCCCTAATTTTACAAATTTATCCCACTGATTTTCCTCACTCAATCACACATAGGCTCAGGCTATTGGTTAATTTGACCATATATTGGTACTTTTTAGACCAGATATAATAGAAAGAAACTATATCAGTGAAAGCGAAATAGTTCTGGCTGTATCAGTAGGGTTGGTGACAGTGACTACTACTAATTATTTGTATGGCTGTTATCTCTTCACCCTAATCCACATAATACAAATGGATTGAGAAGTGTCAGTGTGTGTGTGTGTGTGTGTGTGTGATGAGTCATCCAGAAGGTGGCCGGTCGTTTTGATTACGTACTAGTAAGTACTATTAGTTGTTCACATTTGCACACATGAAACATAAATGAGCTATTTGAGGACATATCATGGACTTACATTGACAAACCCTAACCCTATCCCTAAAAGGAAATTTTTGAATATATTTTTTGCATTTTGTACATTTGTCTCTACATTCCCAGATGTCCTAAATTAAAATGAATGCTAATTCAACTTAAGAATACTTTTGAAAAAAACAAAACAAAACAAAAAAACAGAATTTAAACAAACTTTCATTTAAAAGCTTGAATTAATAATCAGTCTTATTTTGATTTGTAAAGTTACAGGCATCTCAGGAAACACTTTATGGGTTATCAAGTGCAGATATCTTTATGGTATGTCATGCTGCACTGAAGTAGGTGTTGTAAAATTTGAGTAAAAGCTAAAGTCTGCAGAAATTTTTCCTTATTAGATTTAAATAGAAAGGTGAAATTTAAAAAAAAAGATTATTAAACTCAACATGCTTTATAATAAGAAACAAAATGCAGAAAGAGAAAGTAAAGACAAGTTACCTAGTTATGCATCAACCTAACAAAATCCCATAATAGTCCTGCATTTGGACCTTGTACCTGGACCGTGTTCTAAAAGCTCAACAAGTGTTATGTTCATAATAACTCCCTCTTACCTTTAATAGCTTTCATTGTACTTACAGTGTCAGGCAAAAAAAGAAGAGATGTCCCTTTCGTCGGTCCTCACACGCTTTATGTTTGTTATAAACACACACACCCTGAGAGAGAGCAAAGCAGAGTGATGTAGAACAGCAGGGAAGCCTGGGGCTTTATCAGCCCTGCCACCGTTCAGACAGCCAATCAGAACGAGGCTTTCATTCAGAGCAGCGCAGGCAGGGCAAAAGGAGCCGATTCACAAGGAGTTAATGAGAACCTGTTCACTTTCCTCAAACATTAACACAATTACAGACATACAGACCAATACAAGTCCACATAAAAAATGCAACCACCCTCTGTTATGTACAGTGCAGTTACTGTATCACTCTGAATAATCATATTATTACAATAATAGCATATAGCAATTGAAAAAAAAAATGGTTTAAGTTCAAGATCACATGAAAGAATCAGCCCGTTCTCATCCTTTAGCGTTACATAAAACGCTATATGACAAAACGGCGCTATACTATGCACATGGCACCCTTTATCGTTAATATAACACGCGAACCCAAGACGTCATAAATCCTTTAGCGTGAATATGACACGCAGACCCTACCCCACACCTATTAGCCCTCACAGCGAGTGTTATATTAACGATAACGGGTGCCATGTGCGTAGTATAGCGCCGTTTTGTCATATAGCATTCTATATGACGTTAAAGGATGAGAATGCGTTAAAGAACTCACATAGATTATCCTGTTCAATATTTAATGGAACTGTTATTTTGCAGTTATTATAAGCATCTGAAGAGATTCTGTACAGTTTACAGCTCTTTCACATTAACATGACTCAACAATATGCCAATAATATATTGTAAGATGGAATAAATGTGTTTTCTTGTTAGGTTACTCATTAGATCACAGGTTTCACTCTCACATCTTGAGTGAATTAGCACTGTATATAGAACAGAAACACTATTGACAGACATTTAACACAGACTATTTGAAAAGCTATCCACAAAAGCCATATATTGAAGACATCTATTAAGTGACTAGCGACCCGATATAATAGCAGAAAAGTAGATGAAAATAATTAGCATAGCTGCTGTTCATAATATTAATGCATTTGATCTAAATTCAACAGAGGAATAAAAGTAAGCATTATGTGAATGCTTGGCTTAAAGGGTTAGTTCACCCAAAAATGAAAATTCTGTCAGTATTTACTCACACTCATGTTGTTCCAACCCCGTAAGACCTTCGTTCATCTTCGGAACACAAATTAAGATATTTAAGATATTAAGATCTCTCCTGCATACAGTCCATAGGCTTCTTGAGGGACTGGCTCTTGCTGTCCTCGAAAAGTCATTAAAGACATCGTTAAAATAGTCCAAGTGACTACAGGGGCTCAATCTTAAGTTTATCAAACGACGAGAACACTTTTGTGCGCAAAAAAACAACAAAAATAACGACTTTATTTCAACTATTCGTTTATTTCTCCCTCTGCGCGAGTCAGGTTACTAGTTTAATAGCGTAAGCTTCTGTTATTGTACGTCACACGCATCACACACACATGACCAGCGTCGGCCAATAGTGAGCCTACGTGTGACGTAGCTCTACGCAATCACACTACGTTAACTGACTTACAGGCTCATGGAGAAGGAAGTGAATAGTTGAAATAAAGTCGTTATTTTTGTTGTTTTTTTGCGCACAAAAGTGTTCTCGTCGTTTGATAAACTTAAGATTGAGCCCCTGTAGTCACTTGGACTATTTTAACGATGTCTTTAATGACTTTTCGGGGACAGCAAGAGCCAGTCCCTCAAGAAGCCTATGGACTGTATGCTGGAGCGATCTTAATATCTTAAATATCTTAATTTGTGTTCCGAAGATGAAGGAAGGTCTTACGGGGTTGGAACAACATGAGGGTGAGTGACAGAATTTTCATTTTTGGGTGAACTAACCCTTTAAGAGATGCGTCTTTAATCTAGTTTTAAACTGGGACAGTGAGTCAGAGCCTTGTACAATAACAGGAAGACTATTCCAGAGTTTAGAGCTAAATGTGAGAACACCCTCCCTCTTTAGTGGACTCAGATATCCAAGGAATGACCAGAAGCCTTGAATTTAGTGATCTTAAAGAGGCGGGGGATCCATTAAATATCCCTCATGATTAAATACACAGGAGCTAGACCATTTAGGGCTTTATAGGTCAGTAGTAATACTTTGTAAATTATATTTATATGTTTTGTGAATGATTGTTTTGTAAGAGGTTTTGTGGGTAGTTTTTTGGACCAATAAGTAATGCCGTCATTTTATCTCATTTTAATAGCAGGAAATTACACGTCATCCAGCATTTTTATATCTTTAAGACACTCTGACAATTTAGATAAGTTAATGTTTTCCTCTGGTCATGGTGAAATATATAATTGAGTGTCATAAGCATAACAGTGGAAATGAATTCCATGTTTTCTTATAATATTACCAAGTGGCAGCATAAATATTGAGAATAGCACAAGGCCTAACACCGATCCTTGTGGCACTCCATGGTCTACTGACGCTATCTTCAATATTTCCCCATTTAAACAGACAAAATGGCAATGGGCTGAGGAGTACGATCTAAACCAGCTTAATGTCTGTCCCTGAACACCAGTGTAGTTTTGTAGTCAATCCAAGAGTATTGTATGATCTATAGTGTTGAATGCAGCCCTAAGATCGAGTAGAACTAGTATTGAGATACAGCCTTTGTCAGAAGCTAAAAGTAAATCATTTCTAATTTTAACAAGCACATTTTTAACTAGCACATTGTGCTATGATGCGGCCTGAATCCTGACTGAAATTTTCCATAGGTATCATTTTCTTGCAAGAAAGAGCAGACACTTAAAAAAAACTTTTTTTTTACTTTTTAAGACACTTTTTTAAGAGCAAACACTTAAAAAAATAGTATTTCTAGTATTTTAGACATAAATGGAAGATTTGAAATGGGTCCATAATTTAGGCTATTTGGATCTAAGTTTCTTAAAGGGATACTTCTGTCATCATTTACTCACCCTCAAGTTGTTGCAAACCTGTATGAGTATCTTTCTTCAGATGAACACAAATGAATATATTTTGAAGAATGATTGGAACCAAACAACTGTTGTTTGGCACCATTTACCTCCATATTAGGTTTTTTTTTTTATGGAAGTCAATGGTGCCAAAGTTCCAATCGTTCTTCAAAATATCTTCCTTTGTGTTCATCAGAAGAGAGAAATTAATACAGGTTTGCAACAACTTGAGGGTGAGTAAATGATGACAGAATTTTCATTTTTGGGTGGAGTATCCTTTTAACGAGAGGTTTAATTTCTGGCTCGTTGTCTTTTGACTTCCGGTCTGTATTTTCACAGCGATCTTGCATAGGTATGAATGAACTGCTCGTAAAAAAATTCCCGGTCGACATTTGTTAAGACATCTGCTTTACAATGCTTATAAAAAACATTACAATGCTCATGATAACTTTTGTTAACTCTACAATAAGTAACTCCACTTCACCAGCTAATTACTCCTCGACAACGATGCCATAGAAATATACAGAGCGACCACGAAAACGGAAGTTCAAAGACAACATTTTAAAGATGACGCCGCCCACGTTTCTCTGGTGCATAAGGTCTATAGTTGTAAAGCAGTGTAGCTATTCTTGAGGGGCCATAATTGAGGCTGAATCATAAGACACTATAAAAGATTATACATTTACAATTGTGTTTCTGATGCTTTCTATTTTCTCAGTGAAGAAATGCATAAATCATCACTACTACACTGTAACAGAATATTTTGCTCAAGTGATGTCTGTTTATTTGTTATCCTAACCACGTTGTTAAAAAATCTTATTTTGGTTATTTTCTATTAGTTTGCGGAGATGCTGTTGCTTTTAGGGCCTTTTTATAACGTGACATACTGTCTTTCCACATGATTCTAAAGACCTCTAAATTAGTTTTTTTTTTCATAACGCTCTAAGTTACAAGATTCTCTCTTGATAACGTGTTGCACTGTTGTACCTTGGAGCTTTAGTTCCCTTTCGTAGTCACTCCGAGTTACGTCGTATGGCGGAGAATGGGGGTTTCGCATAGAAAGGCAATCCTCTTCGAGTATTAAAAAACGAGCCAATGGCATGGAAATGCCATGGGTCTGCGGAATTTGCATAGCCTATCTCTGCCATCTCGTGAGTAGAAAAGGAGGAAGCGGACGCAAAATTCCTCGGTCCACAGCCCGTCTTTCACGTTGCAACCCACATGGTCCCGAGTGAGTTCGCGGCTGCACGCAAAAAAAATAAATAAAAATAAATAAAAGGGCCCGCATTCTCATTCGGTCCCGCAGAGGCCACAGTCTAGGGTACACTGGGGTTCCCCCCTGTGGAGTGTTCTGTGGCAACACTTATGTTTCCCCACAGCGCCTCCACCTGGTGTGGCAACCCTAAGCACCCCTCCAATGCCTGTAGGTTCTTCTCTACTCCGGTGGTGGGGACTTATAGAGCTGCGGGGCAGGCTCCCACCTCACTGTGTGTTATTGCCATCATCTTGGGTGTTCAATGACATGCACGAGGGTAGGGCTGATTCAGGGCTCATCCTTGAGCTGCCTGCCGTCACCGACGCATGCTCCCTGAGTCAGGTGATGTCCACATGCGTGGTCAGAGATTTCTGGCTTAACCTGGTTGATGTGCGAAAGGCTGAGTGAACCAGTTTTGTCAACTTCCCCACATCCCAGGCTGGCCTCTTCGGCGGCGCGGTCGAGAACTCTGGCCCCGCAACCCCGCTGCGGCGCTCCCGCTCCCGGGCAGCTCAGATATGGCTTGCAGTTCTTTCAGGGAGTGGTCATAGGCTCACTCCTTCCTCCAGTGGAGGGCTGGGGGAGAATCTTTTCTTTCAAAGAGCTGCATTCCATCTCTGAGCACACAGAGCAGGATGGCAGTGTGCAACGCCCCCGTGCCTCCCCACTCTCGTCCTCCTCTGTCTCTGAGGGCGCGGATGGCAATGTGTGTCGTCTCCGGACCACGCCACTCTCATCCCCCTCTATCGCCAAACCCTTGGCAGAGCAGACCCCCGTGGAATGCTGGTCCTTCCCTGGTCTCCTCCGTTGGGGCGCGGAGCATGATCGTGCACTCGCGTGGGGTACCACCCCCGCCTCTGCCGGTCTCTCCGCCCCGCTCGCCCGAACGATCAGGCTCGGCTATGCGAT